AGACTTGCTACTGCCAATACATCCACAATATGCTGCTGTGAGCATGTAAGAAATGTTGCTGCTACAAATATAACATGCATGAAATAACCCACCACAAAGCAGGAGACATAAAAGGGACAATACAAGCCAAAACAAGATCAAAACAATAGTGGGCTATGACTATGTGAGCCTGGGCTACCACGCCGACTGGCCTAACTCTAATTATATGCACACTGTGTAATGTTTAATTAACAAAATGGAAAAAACCACATGGTGGACTGACCTGAATGAACTGAAATAAAAGCCGAATATAAAATGTTCTTTCTCCGTTTTCTGAATTACACAGCACAGCGAGAGCACACGTCGCACGAGCACATTTCTCCGAACTACAATATCCATAATGCATTTCTGTCGTCTGTCTCCCGCAACACTGTCATTGATATGACTGCGATAAGTGCGTGCTTCTGACGCTGCGTGCAGCTGAAATCAACCACACACTCAACACAATGAAAACATCGACCTTAGAAATAACAAATGTGACACTGGGATAATCGCCGATGTGTATGGTGAACACCCGTTGAAATGCATACACAAGAATGCTTATTTCATTTAACCAGTTTCATGTCCGTTACTATCGGCGTGTCCTCAGAGCGATTACATATGCTCTAAACTGCGTTTGGCTCCAAACACAGATGCTAAATCCTGCTGCTAATATGCTTAATATTCGCTCCTGCATACAACGCAAACTGCTAACATGACACTTAGTTTAAACTTGATTATGGCTGCTCATTTTTTTATTCAATTAGGCAGACCACGCAATACACACAGCGATATGGATTAGAAAAGCATTCACTTATCTTAGATGTTGATTTCGCTGTTCTGAAGCAAGCTGCAACTGCTATGGCAAGCACTAGTCATATATTTGAATGTTGAGCAGCGAGCTCATTGGCTACCGATACAGGAGAGAACCAATCAGCTGTGCCATTTGATAATGATGTCATTAGGTCAGATTGAGTTAGACCAGTGGTTCTCAAACCTGTCCTGGAGTACTCCCTGCCCTGCACATTTTAATGTCTCCCTCATCTATCACACCTGATTCAACTCTTCAGCTCATTAGTGGAGACTGCAAGACCTGAAGTGGGTGTGTCAGATATAGGGAGACATACAAAACGTGCAGTGCTGGGGGTACTTCATGGAGAGGTTTGAGAACCCCTGAGTTAGACCTATCGGACTGCGGCATCTAGAGTTTCATGCCGGAATTCTTTACTTATTAATTTGCCATATATTTGTCTCCAAATGACTAAATGTAAAACACAAATCTCACCCCACTCTCTCCCTATACAGAAAATTTGTTTATGTGCTTAATAGTGTAAGTTTCTAAGGATATACAAAGGCATTCAATGTAAACCTAAAAGTTTATTTTAGAAATGAAAACTTATTGTATATTTGATGTGAAACAATATAACACCAAGTGGAAAGTGTTAGATGAAATGCTTGGAGGATATTGAAACTGATTTTCGAAGAGGAAAAGCAGTCAACCCCGGCATCTGTTTGGACAGCTCCCCTGTAATATTACCACACGCATGCATACTTCATCCTTTCTTTCCTCCGTCCCTTCCCTTTTCCTCATCGCTCTTGCTCTCTCTCTCTCGCTCTCTCTCTCTCATCCTCCTGAATACTAATTCAAGCTGCTCAGCCTCACGGTCCTTAATATGATTCAAAGCACACCTCCTTGGTTAGCTCTCTCCATTCCTCTTCAAAGGTTCTTCTTCTGTAAACGCTGGCTGAATGCAGTGACAGAATTTGTTTAAAAAATAGAGAAGGAAGAAACCTTGCTTGCTTGAGGCAGGGAGAGTGTGCATGTACGGTCTGAACAGCATGTGTGTGTTTGTCTGGGTATATTCAAGGTTACAGATTTCCACGGACACACTGGACATGACAAGCAAACATGATGAGCCGGTTTTATATAGATGTACAAAACTCTTCAATTTGAGTGTGAGGGGTGAGAAAGCAAGTAGAGAGGGAGTCCGAGAGATCGGGAGAGATAAATAGATGTTTGTACATGCTTTGGAGAGTGCAAGCGCAACAGGAAAATAAGAGCGAGGGAGGGGCGTCAGAGTTGGGTGGGGAGACAGATGCACCGCATTGTCAAGTGATAATGGAGAGAACCAAAGAAAAGAGATGCCCCGTACGATTAGTCAAGATATTGATTCAGGAACTCCAGGGAATTGCATGTGACTTCTGATCAACGCTCTTTCCTGTTGTTGTCATTGTCATTTCTCAATGTCATTGTCAGCTGTATGATACTACAACCAGTAGTATCGATTACAAAGGGATTTGTGGGAACATAAGTGGCTGGTGAGCGGTTTCACACCGTTCTCTCCCATTTCACAGACACACTGACTTAGTGACTGACTAACTCTGATATCTTGGCTCACCAGAGAGTACTGAGGGGGTTGCAGCGAGGCAAAGAGGGAGGGAGGGTGGATGACGGCGAGAGTGTGTTGGAGGCATGCACACACACTCGCTCTCGCATACAGCCTTACGGAGACAGGAGGGGAGAGTCAGAGACGCGGAGAAGAAGAAGAGGAGTGAGAGAGAGAGAGAGAGAAGGAGAGAATGTCTGCTGAGAGGGTGGCTGTCGTTCCTCGTTCACAAACCGGCCCTCGCTGAGACACCATGGGCTGTATCGGCTCCCGCACCATCAGTAAGACCCTCTCTGTTTTGATTGCCTTTCTTTTCCAGGTTGAAAGGAGACCAGCTAGGGGTAGAGGAGCGATAGGCGATGCTCACACGCATCCCCCCTCTCAGGGAAAAGGTGTGTGTTTCTATGGAAACCTTTTGGTTAAAGGCCGTTTGTCCTCCAGGCTTTGACAGTGATTTGGCACGCTGCTTTTGGGAAGCCGGGATGGAGGTGTCAGCTTTTGAGAGCTGTTAGTACGTCTGGAATTGATAGCCGCATGTGTCCGCGTGCATGCGGTAGATGCAGACAGACCGTTTGCCCAGTGGTAAAAAGACCCAAAGTGGAATTTTTGGAGCGTACGATTGCATTCAATGCACCTCCAGAACAGACGGTCTCAAAGACTCGCCATATCTGACACTGTGCTAAGGTCACGTTAGGAGCTGTTTGTGTGAAAACAGCAGCAGTTCACAGGTTTGAGTGTGTACGTTCGTTCATGCAGGTTAACCGAAGAAGATGTTTTTCAGGATAAGAGGTGCAGGGTCCACGCGCTCACGTGCAAAAAGCGTTCAGGTGTGACATGGAGCCGGCTGGATGCGCTTCACATGTAGGTCAAATTCTGGAAAGTCAACGGCACTGGTGGGCACATGTTCCTGCCAAACGGGTATGCGCTAACAAAACCGTTGATGACAAATTGCAGGTGTTTTTCCACGATTAATATTCTGCTGTAACTGTGAGATGGCTGGCAGGCTAACTACCCTGGAGAGAAGACACAGAATTGTTCTTCTTAAACGTGTTTTACGATGCTGTATGCCCATTAAGACGAGAGCGCAGCATCAAAACAAACTCAGGCAGCTGATGGAGTGATAAATAAATAAATTCTGCTGTATTTGACCTTTGATTGTCATTGAGCTGTGATGCCAAAGGAACAGAGAGTCTAGATGGAAGGTTTCTTTCACATAATAAAGCTATAGCACAAAGTGTCAGAGTAGGACATATTGGGTAATTAGGGATTCAATTTAGTTACTCAGCAGGATATAAATACGGGCTGTATTTATATCCTGCTGAGCAACTAAATTTAATTGCCACTTATAGAAATACTTATTTTTTAAGATTAAAATTTCATATGCATATTCAAGATGTGGCACTGAAATGGGCCGGGTATCTGAAATGCTCTGGAGAGGAGCGTGGATTGCATATTTAGTGTGCTTGGCTATAAATAGTGTCTACTTTACAGTGACCGAAAAGGAGAGGAGAGAGGATAAGATGCATGCTAAATAATATGGGTCAAGTGCCTGATACGGGCCTGTGGTTGTTCACCCCTTTATTTTGAGCGAAGCAGACACTTGTCATGTAAGCTGAGGAAATTTATGTGCTGTCGAGATGTTGCACTGATGTTTTTAATGGCTCAACCAAGGCCCTGTTATCGATTTTTTTTGTTATTCTTGACTTCATGAGCTCACAAAGCAAATTGTTGCTACAGCCAGAAATAGAAACATTCTTAGGTCTTCATTGATCATCACAAATCCTGTAGAGATTCAGTGTTATCGGTAAAATGTATTGCATTTGAATTATATTTTTTAACTTTATATATATATATATATATATATATATATATGTGTGTGTGTATGTGTATGTGTATGTGTATGTGTTTGGGTTTTTAATTAGAGTCACTTACACAGCTATTGCTCCTCTCACAAGATCACGTAATGAATCAACCTCAGCCTTTAAAGGGCACAACTGAAATACCTGAATCTGGTGACAGATTGTAAAGGGCAACTGCAATTTACTAATCAAAATATTAAACTAGAAATACCCTCTTGCAGCTTTCAGTAAATGAGCATGAAATGACACCACAGGCTTTCCTCATTAAAGTTATGTTATCTAAGCTGTCAAACATGTTCACTGGGAATAGGTTTGATAATTATAGTCTTCAGTACTTCACCAATCGGCAGTGAGGGTCAATCTATGGCTGTAGACACAGCACTAAGCATATTTAACATATTATCATAAATTAACAGAGTATATATTTTTATATTTTGAACTGCAACTTTGTAAGCCCCCTCTGGCTATTTAACTTACATGTATGACACAAAAGGCAATATTTAAAAATCATGTTGATGATGTCTTTTTTATATATATATATATATTGCTTGTTTTTCTATACCATATTTATTTGAAAATATATTATGATTTATTTGCTATATTATGAAATGTGCTTGTATTGGGTTACTTAACAGACAGTCTTGAAAAATAAGACAGCAACAGACTCAACATTGATATTGAGTGAAAAAACATCTAGGTTGTTCCAACACATTCAAAGCATCATGGTCTCTGCAGAAGGTGTGGCCCGTTATGTGCAGTATTAAAAGGAAGCTTAGCTCACTGTATATTTGTGCATATATATATATATATATATATATATATATATATATATATATATATATTTCTATGTATATGTTTCTATATATTCCATAATACATATTCCAGAGCAGTTGAACAGTATTGTCACTGTAGCCGAACGATGAATGACCTGATCTTATGGTTCAATCCCAAGTAAGTGTCGCAGAGTGAATATAACAAGCAATAAGTTGAGAGAAGTATGTATTGGCAAGCTTGAAAGAACAGTCACACAATGGTGTGCAATAAAAGACTTTTCTCTCGTTTGCTGAGTGCTTTATGATACATCACTTTTTCAAAGTCTCTTTGGGTAAAAGCATCTGTTAAATGAATAAATGTACATATAGAGCTGTAAAACGGCGAATGTATTTGTTTGTCACAGGATTGTGGGTGAGAACTGTCATGTAGGTGTGTTTGGGAGGGCATCAGTTAGATGGCTGAGCTCTTGGCACTAATGCCGATGTTTGCACTGGGTTGCTCTTTGTACGTGTTTGTTCTGTTCTGAGCTATTGCGTTACCCAGGGATGCCTCTTTGTATTGATTTAATTTCAAGCTCTGAAAGAGGGACAGACAAGCTGACATGCACATGCTCTCTCTCTACCTTTCTCTCTCACACACACACTCAATCTCTTGCACGTGTGTGATTGCATGATCCAGCTTGACACGGTCCAAGGTGACTGGCTCAGTATGATTGAGAGGTTTACTCCTCAAGGAGGAGGAGGCAGAAGGGGCAGAAGGAATCACAAAGAGAGAGAAGGGCTGCAAAGAATGAATCAGACTAGTGAAGGGAAGGAGGGAGGGAGGGAGAGAAAGAGGATGATGGAGGCACAGGGAGTGACAGCCAGGAAGTTCTCAAATGTCTTCTGGTGAATTTGTACCTCTTATTACTTCTTATCCAGTGCTGTCCATAATGGGACCTGATCCTCAGGTTACTTTTAGGTTTTATTCAAAAAAGTGCCCCCTGACTTTTCTTATTTTAAGCAGCTGCCATCCAGTTGTCTGTTCACCTGTCTGTTCACTCAAACTAAGTTTGAGACAGTAGAAGCAGTTGCTTCTTTTACAGATTTCCATTATTATTAGGTTGAAGGTTTTTTATAAACCGATAATTTAGAGGTGAGTTTTAAGTCCCAAGTAAAGAAATGTTCAGCCTTACAAGTCAAAACCATAATGAAATGCAATAAAATGTTCTCTTCCTTTCTCTCTCTCTTAATGCTATACTTGTAAATGAAAGATATTGCTTACGTTATATATATTCTTTTGAACTTTTGAAAAAAAAAGTTTAATGTTTCCATAAAAATATAAAGCAGCACAACTGATTTCAACATTGATAATAATAAGACATTTCCTTGAGCAGCAATTCAGCATATTAGAATGATTTCTGAAGGATCATGTGACACTAAAGACTGGAGTTATGATGCTGAAAATTCAGCCATCACAGGAATAAATTACTTTTTAAAATATATTAAAACAGAAAACTGTTTTAAATTGAAAGAATATTTCACAATATTTACTTTATATTTATACTGTTTTACTGAATTTGTTTATAAAATAAATGTGCCTTGGTGAGAATAAGAGACTATATTTATAAAATATATAAAAAAATCTTACTGAACCCAAACATTTAATGGGTATATAAATATATATCCCAGCTAATTTTGCATAGATTCTTGCTGATAGAGTTTGCTGATATTTATTTTGGGCATTTATTCGCTTAAATTTATTATGCAGCTTTGCATAGCACAGAAAATGAGATTTTGGTGTAACTTTATCAAACCAGACGTTGTCCTAGTTTGATAACTAGCTGACTCATCAACAGTAAGTTCTGCTGTTGTTCAGTTTAGTTTCTGTTCATGTGTTTGTATTTCTCATACTCCCCATCTCTTTTTTTACTGTCCCCTTTTTCACTCAAGTTTAGTCTTTTGCTCATATATTTTTTTGCTGGGGTATTTTCACTGGGTCACACTTAATTTCTATTTCTCTGACTACTATATGATCATGAAAGAGTGCTGAGTGGTCCCTAAGACACATCTGTGACTAAGAGGATGTTTACACGACACCGTTTTCAACTAAAAATGTAAAACTATTAGTACCTTTTGGCCGTACATTTATACAACAATGGCGTTTTGGGGGCCAAATTTTGAAAACATAGTGTAAGTTTTTAAAAATTATGCCATTGTCGTCTCTGTGTAAACTACAAAAACGTAAATTTGTTAAAGTGGTGACATCATGTCTATAGGAATACACGTATGCGCAGGCATGTAGTGTTTCTTTACAAAGTGACATCGCCAACTACTGGCCTGGCATGCATAATACAGCGTTTTTAGTTGTTTTCGCGGATTCGTCTGAACAGGGATTTTTTGACAACATTGTTGTCTGTACGCGAAACTTTTCAAAGATGCAAAAGAAAAACATTTCTGTTTTTAGTACAATCGTTGTTGTGTAAACGTACCCTCAGACCACTTCAGGAAGAGGTTTAAACACAAACAAGATGCCTCTGAGTTAAGTGTAAATGCGTCTTGTTGTTTAGGCCAAATACGAAAATGTACACCTCCAGATCTCAAACACTGATTTCTATTTGAGCTGAAGAGGGAAAATTTCACAGCTCTGCATTAGCATTTATATACCCT